CAGGCTAAATATTTTAGAAGAAGACCATCCTTCTGAGCCCATAGTGGATCGAGCTGGTTAATTTTTTGTGCGTGTATGAGAGTAGACAGAGGGACTATTGTGGAAACTTCAAAAGAAAATGTTTTTGTTTTTGAAACTTTACAACGAAAAATCTTAAAAATGTAAAACAAAATTTTCAAAATTACTTACTTTCTCTCACTTCTTGTGGTTATGATTGTTTTTGTTGTGGGAGATTTATTTCTATTTTGTTCCTGTGAAGAAAGAAATAATGACGGGTGTGTGTGGAAATGTTCTCTCCCTTTCACATTTTTTCAAATATGAAAATTGAAAGAAAGTAACATTTTCCACCTTCCACCCCACCCTCCAAAAAACCTGGAAAAGTGTGTGTGGAGAAAAACAACACTTACCTTTTTTACACTGGAAAAAGAATAACTAATACTCTTTTCCCATGGGGGTGGGGTGCAAAGGGGAAAAAATGAAAAAAATCTAATAGAATCTTTCCCAAACTTACCTTCTCTTCTTTCTTCCTCCTTTTTACACTACAAAAGTGTGGGGGGGGGGGTGGCGGGGGGCGGGAAAAAGTGATTTTTAAGACTGGAAAGTGAAAAAAGAACATTGTACTCCATTTTCCTTTTTCTTTTCCTTGGAGGGGAAGAGGGAGTAATTCTTTGAGAGATGGGAGAACTGTCTTACGGTTTTAAAAAAAAATTTTTTTTCAAAAGAAATTGGAAATTGTTTTTCAAAATAATTTTTTCCCTGTTATCAAATGAAAGTTTTCTGGTGGAAAAACTGCTTGGCCAACTTTTTTTTTGCTTTTTAATGAAAAACGTTTTCTTTGAAAAAAATTAAACCTGCTTTTGTAACGTAACCTGTTAACTGGTTAACCTTTTGTTGATTTGATTGCTTTAATGGATAGTGAGACTGTGCCAATAGTGCAAAATGTGACAGAACCATCATAAGATTTTGGTTCGTCTCTCTCTTGGTGTAAATTTCATTCAGCCCTACCTGAACGTGAAATTCTACTGAACCCTTACTCTACAGTGAGTATTAGGAGAGGGGGCAGGGCAGAGCAGAATTTTTTAGAAACTACAGGCATGCAATTCCTTGCACAAAATGTGTGCAAATTATGCACACAATTTGCTTGTGCAGTTACCATCATGGCAAGCAAAATGAGCTCAGTACGTGCATTTTCACAGGACCATGCCTTCCTGTGTGTGTGTGCGCAACACCTAACGAAATGGGGCCCTGATCTTTACTTGGGCCTTTGGGCACTGCAATTCAAAAATCAAAGAACTTGTGTAAAATTGTGGTACTAAGAGATGCAGTTGAACATGTAAAATGTCTGAAATTCTGGCCCTAAAACCTTGAAGCTACAGTTTCCAAGGGTTGCCAGGGATTAGTAAATGCTTAAGATAGATATGTGCCGGGTGGGAATGAAAACCTGAGTACTGATGCTGAATAGCCTTTGTATAGAGTGGCACGAAGATACATGCCTCAAAACAATTGTGACAGTTCATGAAACAATTACGTTTATTAACTTGAGTAGGTTTCACAGGCTGAAAGATTCTGTGCAGTTTGCTACACAGAATCTTACTAAGCAGATCAGTTCATATTTTGGGAGGGGATTCATATTCGTCTTGAAACACAGAGTTTGTCTTCTCAAGACTATATGATATGTGTATGTGCCTTGGGTGCTGCTCCAGCTCTCCACAGTAGCTTCTGCCCCAATGAACTCTTACCCCTGGATCTCATTCTGTGATCACAGAATGAATCAAGTGTTCTTTGTGCCATGCTGCACACCTATAAAACAAACTGTAGAAGAGTACAGCATCTCCAATCGTATGTGTTTGTTAAAGGAGGAGGTTTATCGTTTTGCTCAATTCAGTGGTATGCGTGCATGAAAGGTGAAAGGTGATTTGAGGTTACTACTGTGGCAGCTATCTTGCTGGAGTAGCAATTTTAGGTCAAAGATGGAAACTTGTACTTTTTTGGCATGAGAACCAAATCCCCTTCAGACTCCTCCCCCTCCCGCCCCGCAGTTAGATTGGTGTGATTTTTGTTTTGTTTTAATGAAAGGAATAAAAGAGTCAATTCTGAGTTCCCAGCTGTCATCGCTACATGGTGCCTAGATACTACAGTGATGAGCACAAATGCATCCTGGATGAGAGAAGTGCTAGGAGGGAGAAAAGCATCTTTAGTGACCTGGCTGCTATGCTAGGAACCTGCCATTTTACAGTTTGTGGGCATGTGGAAGTACTTAATCTTCTTCCTTTGCCTCTAAGGATCCCTCTGTGCAAAAGAGTCTTGGACAGGGCAGAATACTGGAATCTTGAGTCTGCTGGAGAGTAGGGGGAACTGAGAGGAGACTGGGAGCGGGGCAGGCCTGCCTGCCTATAGCTCCTGTAGGGGGAAGGAAATAAGAGAAAGGAAGGTTTGCAGACTTGTCTCCTTCCTTCTTCCCAGGATGCAGCACACTCTAGTTATTACTAGAGGCTTCCACAAACTTCTCTTCCTGTGTCCCTCCCATTCCTTCCCCAGAGGAGATGTGTGAATTAGGAGAGGTCCTCTGCAGGCAGTGTGACTTGTTGGTGAAGTGTGCAGCTCTGGGGGAGAGGAAGCATATGAAAGCCAGTGTGGGAGATGAAAAGCTTTCCCTGTGGCTGACTCATACCAGTTAGGGTTACCATACATCTGGGTTTTCCAGGATATTGCCTCTCTCTTGAGCCTCCATCTTCTGTCCGGGTGGATTTTTCAAATAACAGGAAATGTCCAGGGTTTTTGCAGAGCAAAGGCTGCAGCTCCAGAAATAGCCCCGATTGGTCGGCTTCGTGATGGTTCCCTCCCCTGCATTGGCAGTTGGATTGGTCCATTCACCTGCAGCTACAACTGCAGGCTCCCAGCTCTGGGGAGGGGGTCCCACAGGAAAGCGCTGATTGACAGCTTTCGCTGTGTTCTGGGCTTGCGCCAGCCGCCCTACCCCTGTGACAGTGAGTGACACCGCCCCATACCTCCAGTGAGTAACCCCACCGCAGGTACCCTCTTTTCCTCCCCCAACTGTACCTCCCCTTCAACTTCCCATTCCCCACAGTGTCTTATTTTGGGGAACCTGAAATATGGTAACCCTATTACCCCTTCCTTCGACAAGGCTCAGTGGCTCTGACTTTGTCCTGTGCTGGGCACTCAGAGGAGAAGTGCGTCTCTCTCTCTTTTCAGGCAGAGTCTCTTGGCAGAACATATCCCAACATACAGACCAAAATTCAGCCCTGACATAAGTGGTGGAACGCTCATTGAAGCTGATGGACGTTGCACCCATCCAAACCAGCACCGTACCTGGACCTCTAGCTTGTGCACAGAAGTAGCCCTTGTGTTAATCTCTAACACCTTTATATTAACAACCTGTCTCCTTCTCCAAGTTCACTTTCAATGTTGTCTGCAAAGCTCACCTGACTCTAATTAATTAAAACATTAAAAAAAAAAAAAACTTTATTACCAAAAATTAGGCCTAATGAGGTTGCTACAAAAAGTACTCCACCTTAACCACCCATATCCTCTGGCCTTGTCTCTCCTTGTTACGTCTTACAGCCTGATACTGCAACACTTGCTCAAAAAGTTGATCTCATGTGACTAATTGCTTGTGTGATAGCTGCAGAATCAAGCCTTTAAGCTGTAATGTCTGAAGAGCAGAGATGGTTTGTGGATCTGTATAGTGCCATGTATGCCTGCCTAAATGAATAGGTGAAGCCATAGTGCAAAGATAACCACTATTCTACAAAATGACAGGTTTCAGAGAAACAGCCGTGTTAGTCTGTATTCGCAAAAAGAAAAGGAGTACTTGTGGCACCTTAGAGACTAACCAATTTATTTGAGCATAAGCTTTCGTGAGCTACAGCTCACTTCATCGGATGCATACAGAATGCATCCGATGAAGTGAGCTGTAGCTCACGAAAGCTTATGCTCAAATAAATTGGTTAGTCTCTATGGTGCTACAAGTACTCCTTTTGTATTCTACAAAACAAACTGCAAGGAAAAGCCATTACTGAGAGAGACGTGTGGATGCTGAATCATGCTATTAATTATTGCTTTGTTTGTGGTACAATGCCTACATTCTTGCAGGGAGGGGGTTGCATCAGGGGGAAATTTAAACTAATTATGTTTGTCCCCTTGAAAGTTATCTGTGTTTATCAAATCAGTAAATAGCTTGTTAGTTATGGTAATACCTATATCAGGGCCTCTAGCACTGATATAGATTGATCCGAAGGATAGAAATTTATGTACAAGGATGGAAAATAACATTTAACAATCCAGAAATTAGTGGGAAATAATCCTTTTCCTAGTGAAGATCAACACTCTGGGAAGCCTGAAAAGATGGGATAGCTTTGTGTTAATGTTTACTGTACCATATCTCTGACTAACATTCTTTTGCCTTTGCATAGACTCTTACAAATTCATTACTCAAGACATCAGACCTCAATTTGTTTGGTTTTGATTAGCATGTGATTGTTAAAATACCAATAAACCCAAAAGAGTAGCGTCCTAGCTCTTCATGTTTTTTTTTCGATTAAGCTTAAAAACAAAATAAAACTTGGGTCCAATTTAATTCTAGAAGTGGTGTTGCAAAATCAGTGTTATGCTTGATCTAATATTCTCTTACCTTTAACAGAAAATTGATAGTAAGGAGTCCAAATGTTTGAACCTTACTGTTACAATTACAGCAGCTTCCAACAATTCAAACTTTGCTGAAATGCCCACTTTCTGGTTTTGAGGGGGTGTCCTTGTGGTATAAATCTCTGTCCTGTAATTGCCTAATGGTAGTCTGTCTGCCCTTCAGATAACGGGAGCCACATTCTCTTCTATCAGTTGTGATCTTTCAAAGATTATCATTGTGTTTAATTTCCTTTTTATCTTTGGAAATACATTTGGTACATAAAATGGTAAAGCAGTAAGATGGACTGACAAGCTTGAACCATCAATAAAAATGAACTTTACCACTTTATTTTTAGTTTAGCCAGCTGGTCTCCAGTGATTTGAAGTTATTGGGAAGGAGTTCTTATACACTCTGCACAGATGGCCAGTTGCTCATTCGGCAGGTCCTTCACCCAGAAGCATCCAAAAAGGTATGAGATCAGAGCTTGGTGTGGAAGAAAGGCAAAGTAAGCTGTCTCAGTAATATTTATTGGTGGCCCCTGTAGCTAACAAAATAGAGGCGTTGACTGACTCTGGGAAGAGTCTGCTTCTTGGCTGGGAGGAAGGTGGCTACAATAATGGGGCACCAAAGGTGTAAAGCAGAAGAAATAGGGAAAGGCAGTAGATTAAAAGGACTCTTCATCCCTTCTACCTATTTCTGTCTCCCTCCTCCAAAAATACTGGAGACAGAACAACTGTTTCTACCAGATTGAGGTATGGGTCTCACTCCGTTGTGAGGTTCCTTCCCTCCCCAACGTATTTTTGCATCATCTTCAAACATTATTAAAACCTCTTTACAACCCTCAGATCCAATAGGGTTCTCATGACTTCTCTTAATGATTCGAACCTAACAAAGGTGAGTGCTATTTTGCTTGGATTCAAATCAAACTTCATAAAGCACTAGGGGAGAGAGAGACTGCTGAAATAGACCTGGATTACCACCTGTCCACTTAGCTTGTTTATTTGTAGGAAGGACGGAATAATGTTTAATGCAGCACTTATTTCCAGAATCTGTTATAATCCTATATTGGACAAAGTTATTGGAAAGTATTTTCTATACTATTACAATTTTCCTTTTTCTTTCTTAAAATATATTTTTTTTAATGTTTCAACCGGTGGTGCTTACCTTTAGGAGTCCTCTTGCTTTTGGCAAGAGCGCAGAAGAAAAAGATACAATATTCTAAATGGGAACCTTAATATAACACCACCACTCAGTTTTTAAAACTAGTAACTGTTTTGCATGGACTTACATCTGGGAAGCTGTCCTGATTTGCTACTGTAGGAGTGTATATCCTTGCAGTCAGTGACACCAACTATTAGAAGTTGGTGATAAGAGAACTAAATTGGTTGGTCTTGGTCAAATGAGTGACATGCAGCTCTGTAATCAGAGAGGGAAAGAGTAGATATGGTATAAAATAAAAATGTGATATATATAACAAACTGTAACTGTGGCCAGGTAAGATCCCTGTTCAACCCCAAAAACCCCTAATTGTCCTTTACTGGGATGTGGCATTCATAATGTTAATTCATTTTCTCCCTTCCTTCTTTGTAGAACTTCCTGCTATCAGACTGCTTTTATTCATTTTATGATCTACGCAAAGAGTTTCACACATGCTACCCCAATTCAGCCCCCGTGAAGGATCAAACTATCAAATCCATGGCAGAGTGTATCCTTTTGATGTCACTTCTAAACCATAATTCTCTGTGCAATTGTTTATAGTTTTCATCCCAGTAAATTAATTGAGAAGCTGGTTTTAAAAATTAATCTCTGCATAGAGCTGAAGGAGTTTTTAACATAACGCTGAAGATAGTGTTGCATTCTTCAGCTGTTAACATCTTTTTTTCACATTTAGTCTTCTGTCTAGTAATGAAATTTAGCATGGGTTCAGTACGCGCTTAGGGTTTTTTAATTCTTTGAGATATTGACACAAACTTTGCCTTATAAGAAAATGCTTGTCTAGCACTTGAGTAAAATGATGTTCTCTAGAATTGCGCACCTGAAGCTACATCCAACTGCATAAGTGCTTGCAGTTAGTTATAGTTCTGAGTGTCTGACCCAGAGGGAGGCTAATGTAAAAAAAACGTTGCTCCCAGGGAGGAATTTTGTGGGTCCAGATGAATACAGCAAAAGATCAGGTGTGTTTACCAGGGATAGTAGGAACGACTCCCGCTTTTGTAAACTCTTAGGCTGAGATGATGTCAGCTATCAGTAGTTTTCAGAATGTTGACCAGTAAAGTGAATATTAACCAGTTTAAGAGCAGAGTGACACACATGCAGCGGTCACATGTCGCTGTTAAAGTTGATCCAATTGGATTGTCAGTTTTGTGTTGACAATAGCAAAGCCTTATAACTTGTTGACAGATGATTGTGAAATCCTTTTTATTTTCTTTGACTCGCTATATAGATATAGGCTTAGAGACAGATGAAACAGAGGAGGACTTTGGTGTATGGCAAGTGAAAACCATGGTGGCTATTATTTTCAGCATGCTTTCTGAAACCTGCAGTAAGTGGGATATTTGTATGGGATGCTCTTGTGTAGAGGCAAAATTGTCAAGGGCATTTTCATTGCTGCTGAAATAGCTGTTCGGGATTATATTTTAACTTCATCTCTTATTAGTTACAGATTGCAGATTTACGGACTCTGAAACTGTGAAATACAAGTATGAAACAGGTCCCTGGTAAGTGCCTTTGTTGCAGCAGTTTTTAGCTGATGTAGGTTTTAGCTACACTAGCAACACTTTGCAAACATTTTCCATCATTGCTCACTGGGAAGCCCCAGTGTAGACAGGGTGCCACTGGTATCTTAAGCACTGTCATCTAGCCCTGCTCTGAGTATGTGCAATTGTTATAGTACATAAAATGCTGGTGGTCCATATACGCTAGTGATGGACTAGACTAACATCAGTGGAGCTGAAACCATTTAGTCAGTAGAAGATAAGTATTTAGAAACTTTCTCCAGTATGGACAGGGATAGTATCTTGGTACACACTAAACCAGTATAACCTCTTATGCTGTATACCATTTTCTTTCTTTCTTTCAGTACAGAGGGATGGTAAAAGGGAGCAATTGTACTGTACACTGTATTGCAAACTGTCTTACAAACTGCAGTTGAAGCTAATGTAAGGAACAGAAGATAATTTGAGGGATTCTGGGAGCTTGGTAGAAGGGAGCCTTTGCACTCTTATGGCAAAAAGAGTGAGAGAGCTATGTGACATGTAAATGCTGATTACTTGCATTTACATGTCAGAGCCTATTTAGAAGTCTCCTATAGATCCTCTGACCTCTGTGGATTGCTATTTTCACTCAAACTTTTAAACAAAAGTTGTTGATTAGTGCTGACATAAATTGCACAGTGGCTCTTTCTCACTTTTGTTGCTGGTATCCCTAGCAATGTGCATTTAGGTTCATATAATGCCCTATTGTGTGGTGTACTGTGTATATTAATGAGTAGGCATTCAGCATCTGGTGTGGAAAATTCACAGGGGACCAAGGAATTATTTCTCTCTCTCTTGATCTCTCTCTCTCTCTGCTGGAATTTTCCAATCACTATCAAGTTATAGAAAGGAAGAGACGGGAAGGTATGGGGTAAGGAAAACCTACCCCCTTCCAATCAAAAGTGGCAATTAAGATAAGCTTGTCATTTGTAACTGTACCATGAAATGTCTCAAGTTATATTGGATACCATTCTCTTTGCCTGGAGATTTTCACTCTATAGTTCGACAAACTGTTCCTAAATTAATGTAATTCCTTCGTTTTCCTCTAAGAGGAGTTAAGCTTTTGTCTCTTTGTGCTATTCTAAATTGTGGCTTGGGGGGGAGAAAAGAGGGAGATCTAAAATGTGTTTTGCTTTTGAAAGAAATTGCAGTAACCAGGAGTTCTGCTGTCTAAAACCTGTTTGATCAAACTTCTTATTAGTGATGGTGTGCAAACCATCTTCCAATGGATTGTTGACACTAAATCATCTCTAATAATCCCATGAATCTAATTCAATTCCCTGTGGACTTGTTACTGTGCATTCTAGCCATTGAAAACAAAAACAAAACACCTCTTTGGGTGATGGGATGGCCTCACAGCATATCTCAGGGTAGTGTATAGGTATTATTCATAGTAGTTTGCTTCTCATTTCAGTCAAGAAAGGGAAAGATTAGAAAAATCCCAACCGCAAATATCCCAGTGGTATTAAGACATTCTTTGTGGTCCATATGCTGAATTGGTACTTACAATGAAATTTGGTAGTAATAGTGTAGTAGAAAACTTGGATTAATTACCCTGAATTTTCCTATTTTCTCTTTTTCTGCAGTAGTAAATCTGAAGCAGTAGACAGCGAAACAGTAATACGTGCTAGAGGTTTGCCTTGGCAGTCTTCAGATCAAGATATTGCCCGTTTTTTCAAAGGACTCAATATTGCCAAGTAAGAGTGCTAGATCTGGTCTAATTCTGTGTTACTTTGTTTTTATCATCAGTCTTTATTTTGTAAAGTAAGTCCTAGCCTTGTGTGGTCTTCCTCATCTGGGCAGTTCACAAAATTCAGGAAAGGTTTCAACAAAAGATTTTGCCCTACCTTTACTAATTTATTCTTTCTAGTGAGCACTAATGAGTACAACTTGGAGCTATTACCAGCCATCACGTTAGGCAAGACACAATCCCTCTGTATCTGGTTTTGTCATTGATTAAATAGATTATTTCTCACACAGGACTTGTGGTAGAGTGAGGAACTGATCTAGGTTTCCTGACTCCCATTCTTAGGGTTTAGCCTTTAACAAAAATACCCATCTTCACCCTCCTCACAAGACTATGAAGCAAACAAAGCATTTCTTGAACAAGTAAATGAAGAAGAGAGACTTCTTTCATTAGAATATGCACCACAAATTCACTTGTTGCTATCACTGCGGGTACAAGCTCCGAGTGCAGTAGTCAGGATTCAGTCAAAGATTAATATGAGCTAATTAGGAAAGAATTAATTTGGGACTAATGTTTCAGGATTCTAGTCTAGCTCTTAAGAAGAATAGGCTCGGAAGCCCACAAGTATTATTTGGAAGAAATGTTTGTATAATTCTAACTCGCAGATATGCTAATTTAGCATAGCTTCCAACTGATACAATCTAATTTACATATTTATAGGTGAATATATATACTTCATTATGCAGGGGTACCAGCATATTTCCATTTGAAAAAGTGAGGGAAATTCTCAGACACAACACAGTAAGCTGGAGGAGGGAGTTAGTTGTAAATATATATCAGTTAGAAGGTGGAAAATTTTTGAGCAGTTTTATTAATGATGATAAAGACTAGAAAGCCAGAAGTGGTAAAATAAAGCAAAATTTAAGAAGGGGAAAAATTTGAAAAGTCTAGAAATGCAGAGCCAAGGAACCCAGAACAACCTTTCCTCTAGTTCTGCAGCAACTCCGTACTTTCGTTTTCTAATTGGTATACTCTTACCTAGTTTGTAAGATGTGATTTTTCCATTAATAAGTTAACAAAGCTCTGACTAAGTTTTTCTAAAGATTTTGAAATCTTTTTACATTTGGGAAACCTATTCTATTTCTACAGCTTGCATACGAAAGGTAGTAAACCTACAGTATTAGTTTGATACATAGGTTTAATAGAGATTGAATGTGCAATTTAATGCACTGTGGCAGTCATTAGAATGCCCTACAGTACTGTATGTGAGATTTCTGTGTTAGGAGGCTTATACATAGATAACACAACTATGTATTTAACTATATTTCTCTATTAAGAAGTACATGCCTTTGGGGAACAGTACAGAGTAATTGCCCCGATAAGTTTTTTGTTTGTTTGTTTTTAATACATGAAGGGGGCCAAGTCAAGTTGATTTATAATGTTCTGGTTAGTTGTTCCTGGGCTATAGCTACAGGGATCAGAATTGAAGTTGTTTGGGTGTACCGTAACTCTACATTTATATACTATTCTCTAAACTTTGCAGGTTTATTTGTTTAACTTGACATGTTTTGGCTTTTTAACTTCCATATTCTTTCAAGGATTTTTCCTAAGTTACGACTATGAATTTACAATTCTAAATCCACCTTTTCAGTTCTTTGTGAATTTACTTCACTTTTTAACTGTACATCAAGCATGTGAAGTTTAAAATGCTTTCTGCCCGTGGGAAGCACTGTAAAGTATTGATGGCATGGTGTGGTAACACACTTGCCTCACTGATCTACCAAAGAAGCGTATTGTGTAGCAGAGATGTATGTATGAATGATTTTTGGATCAATTAATGTTGTTGGTGGAAAAACTTTGAAAGTACAGGCTCTTTCTTAAAGCCTGGCCTCTGTATTTTCTTGCTGAATAAGAGTGGGGAATTATGTCAATGATGTATTATAAGGCATTGATGATTCAAGTTTACCTTTTACTTTGGTCCTTGCTTTTTTTCAGAGGCGGTGTTGCCCTTTGCTTGAATGCTCAAGGAAGGCGAAATGGGGAAGCCCTTGTGCGATTTGTCAACCCTGAACAGAGAGATTTGGCATTGGAAAGACATAAGCATCACATGGGTAGCAGATACATTGAGGTAAAGAACTACAGCATGACAACATATCAGCACTACTATGCTGGGAATGCAGCCAGTTTTAAACTAGTGCAGATGGTTATTCCCCAGTGCAATACTGTGCTCTACAGACGTATTACATAACTAGGGGGGAATTGTCTTTCATTAACTGTGGGTGGGATATTCAAAGGAGACAAAGGGAGTTAGGCACACAACTCCTATTGACCGTCACTGGGAGCCCTCACTAGTTGTTTCTGGAAATCCTATCCTTCATTTGAGGTTTAAAAGTTACTTTTGTTGGCTGTTTAAAGCTGGACACCTATAAAAAAATGAGACATTCTGAAGTTCTACAGAGCTCTGGAAAACGTTACTTTTCAGTTTAGTACTGGCCATTGAACGTTTCTCTGTTTGTTCATATATATAACCATTTTCTTGGTTTTAGGTTTACAAAGCAACTGGAGAAGAATTTTTAAAGATTGCTGGAGGTGAGTAATTTTAAGACCAAACCTATTTACTAAAGCGTAATGTTTACGTGGTCTGCTTCTACTCTTCAGGTGGGTGCGAACATCAAGGACTAACAAGGGGCTTTTTCCGTTTGCACATCAGAAGTTGATAGGGTCAAATACCGGGTGCTTCCCAGCACAAGTGGACAGACACGCGCGAGCTCTGCCCGAGCTGTAGCAGCCCAGCCAAAGAAGCTCAGGTGGCTGCTCGGGCCAAACACACAAGAACAGACCCACCCAAGCTCCGGTGACGCTGCTATTTTTAGTGTGCTAGTTTTAGCAGAGCGTGTGTGTGTGTGTCTGGCTGTGCTGGGAAGCACCATCCCAGTTGCTGTGTGTGTGGACATACCCCTATAATGAGTCCCTCCCTGTGGGGTTACAGACAGAACAGCCCTGACTAATATGGTCCCAGCTGCTCGCTCCCTGCGCTGTATACACACCCTGAGAGGGAGAAGAGAAGCCTCGGTTGTTTCTGCTGCAGGGGATTTCTTGTGTCTTGTATAAGCTCTTGGTTCTCGCTAATGCTAATAGAATTATTTGAAATACTTTCATACGCATTTTGTTTTAAAATGTGGCACTTTTTAAAAAATAGCATACCCAGGAGCATGAAGGTGGGGAGAGAAGTCTCCAGGCTTGTCAGATGTTTGTTGCTTTAATGCCAGCTACTAATCCTCCTGTCTCATTCTTTAATGGTTTCATGTTGCTCGCCAGCTCTAAGCAACCAGTCAATGTACTCAGGGGTAGCTTCACATCAAGAAGTGGTTACTGAGCAAGTCTCTGGTACCATGGGCTGTACAGAGCTGGTAGTTTTATCAGGAGATGTCCTTGCAGTTTCCATCCACCTTGGTTTGCTAGGTCCATTTGTGCTGGTTCCTCACGGTTTCCAAACTAAATGGACACACTTTTATTTCCTGTCCTGCCAGGCACGTCCAATGAAGTAGCTCAGTTCTTGTCCAAGGAGAATCAAGTCATCATCCGGATGAGGGGCCTTCCTTTCACAGCCACTCTGGAGGATGTCTTGGGGTTCTTGGGGACTGAGTGTCCAGTCACAGGAGGGAAAGAGGGACTTCTCTTTGTCAAGTACCCAGATGGCAGACCCACGGGAGATGCATTTGTGTTGTTTTCCTGTGAAGAATATGCACAGAATGCACTTAAAAAGCACAAGGAGATCCTTGGAAAACGTTACATTGAACTCTTCAGGAGCACAGCAGCAGAAGTCCAGCAGGTTGTAACTACTGGCTATGAAACCCAGAAAACTTACCTTTTCCAGTCATCTTTTAGTGTTACCCTGTACTTGTAAATACTGACCTTCACGTTAGGTCTTACAAAAACAGTATAGTGGGAGCAGCTTTTCTATTATATTAATCAAATACCAAGAAAGATATTTTGATTGATTGCATAGTTTTCCACACTTCTGCTGCATTGATTTTTTTTTTCCTTTAACACCGCCCGTATCAATAAATAGAAATCATCAGATATATTTCTTTTCCTCCGCTTGCCTGGCAAGCTTGAGACTGACTTAATTTTTTAACTTGTATTTTTATATTCAACAGTGGAAACCTAAGGAGTTGGGCTGCTAAAAATCTGCAGCATTTTTCAAAAATTCAGGTGCCTAACCACAGAATTCTTCCACACACTTTATATTCTGTTTACTTTTATAAATAGATTATAAGGGTTGATAAATTATTGATGTTTTACTACATGGTTAATCAATCATTAGAATCTAACAAGTTGTTTATAATCATAACTCCTGCTACTTATAACCCATATATAATGCATACTACTCATATCTGTAACATGTTTGTAACATCCCATTGTAAATGGTTTATAACAGGGGTGGGGAGCATCCAGCCCTTCAGATGTTTTAATCCGGCCCTCGAGCTCCTGCTGGGGAGCAGGGTCCAGGGCTTGCCCCATTCCGCATGGTTCCCAGAAGGAGCAGCATGTCCCCCCTCCGGCTCCTATGCATTGGGGCAGCCAGGGGGCTCTGCACGCTGCCCCTGCCCCAAGTGCCAGCCCTGCAGCCCCACTGTCTGGGAACCTGCAGAGTCACCTGGCCACGTCTCCACATAGGAGCCAGAGGGGGGACATGCCGTTACTTCTTGGAGCTGCTTGAGGTAAGCACTGCCCAGAGCCTGCGCCCCTGACCTCCTCCAGTGCCCCAACCCCATCCCTGATCCTCCTCCCACCCGCCAGACCCCTTGGTCCCACCCTCCTGCACTCCAGAGTCCGCACCGCCAGCTGGAGCCTTTACCCCCCCTCCCCAATTTCATGAGCATTCATGGCCCACCATACAATTTCCATACCCAGATGTGGTCCTCAGGCCAAAAAGTTTGCCCCTGGTTTATAAAGAGCTGTAATAGAACTGTAACCTGGTGTGTGATTAAAACTCAGGTACAGTCAAGTATCTTGTTAAAATTTTGGTCATTTTAGGGACACCTAGAGTTTTTGAAAAGTGCCTAATAGATTTTTGAAGAATAGGTATTAAATTCTCAATTTCCCAAGAAATAACACCACCCCACCCCCCCAACAACCTGCCTTTCCTTTCCTCCCCTACTCCACTTACTTTCTCTCTCTGCCTCTATTCATAGATATCTAGTAATATTTGTAAAAATTAACCCTGGCCCACTTCAATTAACCATCACTTCAGAAAGTAACAACATATCTTGTTACCAGCAAGCTGAGCCTTTGAAATTACCACATTTAAGGAGATAGTCTGCCATCTCTAGAAGTGCTATCTGTTTTGGGATACTGTATTCATAGACTTTAAGGCCAAAAGAGACCATTATGATCATCTAGTCTGGCCTGCATAACACACAGCATAGAATTTCATCCAGTAATTTCTGCATTTTTTTTTTCTGTCCGAGCTATATCGTATGGTATACTCTTGTCCAAGTAAGCAGTGAGGCAAGTGGAAGAATATCTATGCTACATGTTAGTTGCTGGTGTTTATCAACACCACTGTGCCTATAGACATAAGACTAGTCTATTAAATCTGACACAGCTATAGTAAAACCCATTTTGTAAATGAAATGACATTGGCTTGTGGTGTTGGTTATTGTTTACTTTTGGATGTTGTGTCCTTGATGAGGATAATTTCTTTGAGCACCTAAAAACTCAAGTCCTACTATTCCAGTCCCCTTGGCTAAGGAGAACTGCATAGGACCACATTCATGTTAGATGAATATGCTGCTGCTTGCTTTACCAGAGGGGATCTCTGGTGTGAGGCACTCAGACATTATGCTGATCCAAGGAGCAATAGTACAGTTCTGGGAATTGGAGTCTGGTTGTTCACATGGTGACGGGGAGCCCTAACCATAGAACCAGCTCACTGGCTAGTGTTAAAATAGACAAAATTGCAGTAGTCAAAACAATAACCATCTGATAGCTGAGAAATCTTCCCTTTAGTAATGTGTATATTTAAAGCATTAGACTGCTCCTACTGTTTCTAATGAAGTGCAACAATCTAGGTTGAATCACTGCTGACAAAATTAAAGCCTGCCACTGAAGTTTGCCTCTTATTTGCTGTACCTACCAGTGTAACTTGTTTGTCTGTCCTAACTTATTTTATTACTCATACTCTGTAATTAGCTTTTGAACAATAAGTCCCAACAGCATCTTCTGGCAGTCCAAGGTCTTTCCAATTATCTCTTTCTCTCGCTCTCTATATTTGTCCTTTGGGAGAGATCAGAGAGCAAATAAAATGTTAACAATGGGGGACTGAGAAAGAAGGGTTGTCCACCACCTTTACTGTTCTTTATTCAAGAACTTGCTACGAGAGCATTGACTAAGTAGTAATAATATTTAGCTCTTATGAAGTGCTCTACTATGGAAAGCAGGAGAGTAGAACTCTTCTTTATTTAAAAAAAAAACAACTTTTTAAAAGATACATAGCTGTATGTGAACTGGTAATTGTACCAATTTGGGTTTATAAGCAGGCCTGATGTTTTCAGATGCTGCATTTTGGGATCCTGTAACATAAGAAACTATAATCTACTTTTGTCTTTTATTTAATGAGATTGGTAAAAACCTAAATGGACCCTTCTAAATTCAGTTTGTCAGTGGCTCTATTTAGATCTTCCCACTATTTGAAACTAAAGTGTCAAAACAGGGGAGAGGAAGGGTGGGGGTGGGAAAGCTGGGACTATTTTATATATACAACATTTTTTTTGCCTGCTCTGAAACAGTTGGTTATGTTTGAATGTATGCTGAAGACCTATTTGCATCCCATATGGGATTTTAACTCTTATCCATCCACTTACGTTTTTTGCCATTAGGTGCTTAACAGATACTTGTCAACACCTCTCATCCCCACTCTTCCAACTCCCATTATTCCTGTCATCCCCCCGCCTTACACCATTGCTGCTGGCAGCATCCGTGACTGTGTCCGGCTCCGAGGCCTTCCTTACACAGCTGGCATTGATGACATCCTGGAATTCATGGGAGACGCGACAGCAGATATCAAACCACATGGAGTCCACATGGTCCTTAATCAACAGGTAACAGAACTTTGCAGGGAGGATGGCTAGACTTCTGATTAGAGACCAGGACTAGGAGTCAGACCTGATCTCTCTTCCTGACTCAGATCTTGTGTGACCCTGCAAAAGTAGCTTCTCCTCTTTAATAAAACAGGGATAGTGCTTACTATGATCTTAAGCATTGTGAAGCTTTTAATAGCGACCACTGATTCCTGCTGCATGGAGTCAGACATAAGGGTAGCAGGGGAGAGGGTAAAATGAAATCAATGATTCTGAGCTCTACCCCTTCCAGGATTGGAAGGGGATGGAACTGTTATCAGTCGTCATCTACTCTGCACTGGTGGCTATCTTTAAATCTTCTCCCACAAGTAGGTCCAGTGCTGTGGGAAACACAGAGGGTAGGAATGAGTCTCTTTAAATAGCGTCCCTGCTTAGAGGCTGGGTTCACTGAACCGCAGTGAGAACAGGCAGCCTGGTCTGGCTGCCTGAGCAGCAGCTGCACAAGATGGAACAGCAAGCGGCTTTGCCCTGTTCCAGGGAGTTATCCTAATATCTGTACTTTTGGGTGTGGTCCACAGGAAGCCCTTGCTTTTGTAGAGCAGCTAAATTGGGACTGGTTTGAAGATTAAATCTTAGCTTTTGTGAAACATTTTGGAAGGAGAACATTTCTAGTTTGGTTTGAAAAGTCTCAATATTTTTGGAGGGGTTTGATGAAAAATTCAAAATGGCAAAGTATTCATTTCTAATTTAAAAATTCTGTTCGTTTTTTGGGTTCATTTTAGAGGTTTACGTTTTGTCTTCCCCTCCAGCTTCTTCCTTTTTTTTTGTAGTAGCAGAAAACTGGAAGAATATTTTTTAAATGAGTGTCTTACTTCCTCCCCCTTTTTTTCTACTAAAGGGGAGGGAATATGGGAGGGAGAGACACACACCCCTAAAAATCAAAATTGAGCAAACTTTTATTTTGTTAACAAAAATTTGTTGAAAAATATTTTTTTTTAATCAAAACAAATTATCATTTGTTTGAAGAGCCAGTTTTCATCAGGGTTTTTTTTCCCTGTCTCTGAGAACAGCCATGGTGTTTTATGCTCTGGGAAGTCGATCTTAGCATGATCTGTTCCCGATTCCACAGGGACGACCATCAGGTGATGCTTTTATCCAAATGAAATCATCTGATAGAGCCTTTTTGGTGGCCCAGAAGTGTCACAAGAAAATGATGAAGGACCGCTATGTGGAAGTGTTCCAGTGTTCAGGAGAGGAGATGAACTTTGTTTTAATGGGTGGCACTTTAAATCGTAGTGGCTTATCCCCACCGCCATGTAAGTTACCATGTAAGTCTCCAATTCTTCTGCTCTCTGCTGCTAAAGGCTGATATGTGGTAGGTGCTCAAGCTCTGTGGCCTTTCACCTTTTTGACTTGGGTTTTGCCATGATCAATAATCATCCATCTGTATATAGCTGAGATTGGAAGTTGTTCCCTTGGGCAATAATGGGAGTGATTGAAGCATTTTTATTATGTTTTCGGTGGTGAATAGATGTCAGAGATGCCTTGCCAGTGAATATGTTGTGCACTTTTGCTTTTATGGGTGTACTGTTCTTCCGAGCTCTGCAGTAGACTTGCCTGTAGTGAAACCTGTTTGGAATTGGATTATTTTGTTTTCAAATTGAAAGAAATTCTTTACTATAGCTGCCAGTGAATGTTCTTGCTATTCTGCCTCTGAGCATTGAGAAGGTGCTACTCTTGGGGATAGCTTGTTTTTGAAGGAAACATCCATTGGGATACATTTCTAATGGAGTGGGGGTGGTAAAATTGGATGGATTTTACTGGCTGTCATCTGTGAACAGTGTTACTATCCCTACTGTGTACTGAACACTTCCAGCAAATAACAATAATTTGTCTCTTTCTTAAATTATAATCATTGTAGCATTTATATATTCTTAACATTTGGGACTTTACTGTGGGCTGATGATTTCCATTCAAACTTGTTTGATTACCCAATCACAATGCGGATAGTGGTGTATGTTTTCATTAAAATATAGATGGCCAAATTTTCCAAAAAAGCTAGGTGTGCAGTCGCATGCTGAATCTTCATATGAAAAACAGGTATCTGGGCATGCAAATGAATCTAATTAGCCATTTGTATTTACAATATCCTGATATGCTCATCAGGTTGCAGTAGTTGCATGCAGACTGTTGGTTGAGAATTGAAGGTACACTTGTGTACCTAACTTCTTTGAAAATCTGTCCCACAGAGAGCAACTTCTGCTAGAAGGAACAGAAAGTATAAGTGTGCGCACATGTGCGGCCAATGCCCTGCATTATCTATTCATGCGGCTTCATACTTTCTTTGACTAACTGTGCAGCTTCCTAGTATCCATTTTAATATGGCTGAGGCTACTCCTTTTCATGCTCTCGGTAGGTATTGTTTATCCAAGTATCCCAGAAATCCTGTTGTTCCTGTTGACATGATAGGTGTCTCCACTGAGAGAGGGTTTAGGCAGACGGGTGAGCTTTAGTTCATTGTGGTCAGATGCTCTTAGCATGGATAGTAATCACGTTGGAATAAATAATTCTTCTCCCATCTTGTTCCCACCTCAGGCCAATTCCTGTTTTGATTGGTCTGTTTTTCTGGTTTGTTTGTTTAGGTCTTTCTCCACCAGCGTACGCTGCTTTCCAAACAGCCGCAGCAGTGATCCCAGCAGAAGCGGCACTTTACCAGCCACAAGCCCTGTTATCAACAACCAGGACTCCCCAGGCTTCTGCGGCTGCCCCTCCAACTGTTACCTACTACCCGGCTCAAGCTGCCCAGCTTTATATGAACTACACAGCTTACTACCCCAGGTACCGTGGGGCTTGGTTGCCTTCTGCTGCTGGACCTCAGAATCCGTTTCTTTATACGAAGGAAACTCTTGTGTCACCCATGCAGACCTTTAGTTTGTGTTTCTGATCTTGACAGTCCTGAGAGTTGCTGATGTTTATCAACAGGGGGCAATGATGGCCTAGGGCGCTTCATCTAGGCCTCTTAATGGGGCTTAGCCTTTGCTGGAGGGGATCAAGCCTCCTTCAGGCAAGCAAGGATGTTTTAGACACTAGGTATGTCTACAGTGCTGTGTGAGGTGTGATTGCAACTCAGTAGTCATACTGGTGCTAGCTTTAATCTAGCTAGCGTGGCTAAAAATGGCATTGAACACATGCTGGCAGAGCCTTCAGCATGCGCTGTACAAGCCCAGAATCCTGGGTACGTACTCGTCTTCGTAGCCCCTTCCGGTGTCCATGACACCTCGCCTCAAGGCTATTTTTAGCCGTGCCTGCTGGGGGTATGCCTACACAAGCTGCAATACCATCTCCAGTTGCATTTGTAGACATACCTATTGCCTGTTTTTTAAATAGTCAGCTTATTGTACTGGGAAGAGCCATTATCTGCTAGCCTGGTGGTTTAGAACTACTGATTTGTATTTACTCTGATGTAGCACTTTGTAGGTTTGCAGTAGGGTTGGAAATGAAGAGCATTCAGGAGCTCTTCCCCCAAGCTAATATTGAAACTTCAGTGAAATTGACCCATCTCAAACCTTTCTCCTACCCCAAGCCCTAAAGCCACCCATTGGTCACTGATAACCATTCTGCTTCGCTCTTTCCTTTTCAGTCCTCCGGTATCGCCTACCACGGTGGGGTATATTGCAGCTCCTCCTGCAGCGGTAGCAGCTGCTGCCTCAGCCACACACACTCCAATGCTGCCCCAGCCTGGAGCTTTAGTTCGTATGCAGGGCTTGCCTTATAACACAGGAATGAAGGAAATTCTCAGTTTCTTCCAGGGATACCAGGTTAGTGTCCAGTCCCTCTCCTCAACCTCTACCTTTCTGTGACTTGGACTTCTGATAGCTATTGTTCTGTGTCAATCTTACTAAATCTTTGCTTTGAGGAAAAAGAGGAAGGGACCTGCTGGCTATGCATTCGTTGTCGTATGGGCCATGTCTGCACTGCACACCACTGGTGGTGGGGGTGGGGGGAGTAGGGTGCAGGTAGCTACACGCCGCAGTGAAAAGCCTGCTGAGTCCACACTGCGGTGTGTAGTTAGTTACATGTGCCAATAAAAGGCTCGGGCAGAGGGGAGGCAACCGGGAGCTATTGGAAACTTTCTCCACTGCCAGAGCCTTTACTCACCACCGTAGCCTTTCCCTGCAGTGCAGAAAGGCTCTGGCAGCAGGGAAATAGCACCACACTACACTACTAAAAATAGCAATATAGATTGGGGGAGGCACTGCTTGGGTACATAGAGAGCTAGGTAGTGTACTTACGTGGAGGGTTTAGGTGTGTCTTTACTTGCCTAAGCAGTGCCTCACCATCTACACCACTGTTTATACCCAGGCTGGGGGGGCATGTATGTACTTACACACTGCTGTAAGGAGTGTGCAGTGCAGATATACCCAGGGTCAGCCAATGGTGGTGTGTTGTGTCATGAGTAAGTCAAGTTTTACAATAAGCACATCCCAAAATATATTTATGGAAATTTCATTTTTGTTAATTATAGTAATTCTGATTTTTCTCTTCAAACGTTAGACGCGTGACCTAGCGGTCAGGAGCACAGGCGTGAATGATAATTTCAGCATTGAAAGGCTCGTTCTGTGACTTGCGTGGGGAGGAATTGAGATGCATCTGTGAAATGAGGGTGGTACCAATCTATCTACCTACTTCAGAGGCATTTTACAAGGCCTAACTAATTCCAGTCAACAGCAAAATATATCCTCCAAACCATGTTTTACCTTGAACAAATGCTCTAGACACCATCAGCAGTTAGCTAAATAATTATCACATGAACTGAATTCCAGTTAATAGGCAAGTGAGCATCAATTTACCATATATTTTTTTTAAAGATAAAGAAACTGATCTGCATCCATAGGATATCCATTTATTTGAATGTGTAGATTAGTCCTCCCCTGCATATTCCTGCACAGATATCAGATGAGCTTTGTTGATACACCTGCTATTTAAATCTATCTTCTGTAACTGAACACTTGCAAAGGCAAAAATAACATTGTTTAGGAGATAATTTAATGTCTGTGAATAGCAATAAATGGTACAGATTCCATCCATTTGATAGTAGGGATTAAATTGTACTGAAACATTGGAAAAATGTAAAACTTGATGTAAGTTACATTTAGGCCTCAAGCTACCATCTGTGTGGCTTATAAATAGTAAGTAAATGAGACTGTCCAGCCATACCAGCCGTGTTGCTGACTTTTACGCTCCTTTAGAGACTGCAATGCAGATGGGGTTTTTTGGTTTTGTGTTTTTGTTTTTTTTTTCTCTTTGTGAGTAGTGGCAAACTTCAGGCAAGGAAAACACTCAGAATAAGGAGACCATCATTGTATGTTAATTTCTCCAAGATTCTTATAGGTCTATAGTAGACTTTGTTTTGTAATGCATGATATCAGCCATGTGATCTTGTCTGGGCCAGAGAAAACACTTAGCTATATATCTTAGGAGCTATTTCTCTGATAATTAGGGTGGGAAGAAAACCAAGTTGTCTTTGGTGTTGTTGAAATCATATTGCTCTGGTCTTGCCAATTCAGAAAGAACTTTGCAGATTTTGCACAGTTTGGGGAATTAATGGCTTCAAAATCACAAAACTCTTGTGTAAATTTTGTGTAAATTCTGCTAAGAAATTCATCTTACTGTTTTTCTAATCAGCTGTGTTTTTCGCTTTGTCTGAGAAATTTTCTTCTAAGGAGAAGTTCAAACTGAAGTGATGTGTACCTGTTTTTTCAGATATGACCGTGACTCTTCAGCTACTACTACTTCATTTCTATTGATTTTAATTAACTTTTTAAAACTAAATTTATTTTTATTTTTCATTTTTTCCCTGCTAGCTTTTAACATGAGATTTTATTTTGAGAATGTAGAATTATGTCCTGCATCAAAACCTCAGGTGGAAAAGTAACAAGAATATATGTGAAATTAGACCTGCCCCCATCCGTGGATGGGACTGCACAGGGAATTGTTCGTGGATCAGTGAACTTTCCACTTCTGATAGCTGGGTGTTATTAACTAAATCTTATATTTATTGTATACAGGTTTCAGTTCTGTTGCTTAATTTGCCCCTTTCCATCACCTTAAATGGAAGGTAGTTTAAAGTGTGTGTGTGTGTGGCACATTTAAAAAGTTTAAATGTATAGGAATGTGTTTATGAATCAGAACTAGATGTATACTCCTACTTTAACCTGTTGCCTGGTCACAAGAAATAAATCCCTACCCTACTCCACCCAAAAATACTTTTAAAAGTGAAGCTTAGTCATGACATTTAAGGAGCTGGTTGCAAGTGTGTTTTTCATCACTTGCCCAGTTGAATTATCTTTCTTAGAGTTTGAGGTGAGGAACACAGCAAGATATTTAAAAGTTTATGCATTTTACTGTCATTGGCTACTGCTGATCAAAGAGTGACTGATTTAATTAAGTCTTTAGAAGATGCTGCCTTGAGTAGATCAGGGTTTAGAGTCTTGTAAAGGAGCTGAGAAAGCACTACATGATACATGTGCTAGTCCAGGGTTTTTTTAATTTACACACGCCCATGCACACATTCACTCCTGCAATAATCTGGAAAAATACTTTTGTAAGTAAAAGGTCTGATGACTTATTGTGTTGGGACAGTATTTTGTCTCTGGTAAGAAAATCTAATGTTATCTCCTCCCTCCCTCCCCCACTCCCCTATTTCTTCTCTTTCTACTGCTACCCAGAGGATGTATTGAACGATGCTTCTGGTCCTTTATAAAGTGAGCCCTTGTTAACCACCATTGGCATGGGTATGATCTTAATCCCTTTGTGAAAATAATTGAAGTTGATTTTCAGTGGACACGGAAATTGGATCTGAGATGCTGAGAACAAAGGGTGATTTTTATCTTTTGTGTATTCCTGTCTGAAAGGGATGAATTAAGTTTTATTTATTTTCTGCTGTTTCCTTGTCTGAATCTCTTTGGTCTTCAAGGGCTTCATGTACTGCATGTATGCACACGTTGCTACTTAACTGAAAGCAGCTTTCACACCAGACCTGCCTCGTAACAGAGATACTCTTGGCTTACCATGTGCTTGAACAAGCTGGTCTCAACATCAGTACATGCTTCCAACAGTAGATAGTGTTAAAATTATAATTCAATATTTTCATCAGTTTGGCTATCAGTATTGGCTTAATCCTTATAGCACCATCAGATGCTCCTATGATTTTTTTAATTAAGTTAAGAATTCCTCCATCACCGTTAAACATTCATGATGCTTTCAGTTAACCTCACAAAAAAAATCTACAGAGCAGTTAATATAATTGTCTTTGGAGATGCTTGAAAAAACCCTCTCTTGTACTGCAATGTGCAATACGCTTGTGAACGTTTAACGTTTAATGCTAGCATGTTACCATCCAATAATTCATGATGTAGCTTCTAATTATTGTATTGCAGTGAATCCTGGGAGATCCCATCATAGCCCAGGAGGCCACTGTGCTAAGCATTGTACAGATAACAAAAAGATGGTCTCTACCACAGATAGCTACAGTCTAAGACTGTCTACTCTAGCACTTCTGTTGGCAAAACTTTTGTTGGTGAGAGGCATGAAAAAAAAATACCCCTCTGACCGACATAAGTTTCACTGACACAAGAGCCAGTGTGGACAACGCTATGTTGCAGCGCTAAGGTCTGTAGTGTAGACATAGCCTAAGTATAAGACAAGAAACAATAGGAGGATCTAGAAAGACAGATGGGGAAACACAAGGAAATAATGAGACCATACAGGTCAACATGATTGGCAGTGGTCTCCACACATCAGCTCCCTAATCATTTGTTAAAATTTTTGGAGGGATTTGAAGGAGGACTATGAGTCAGTCTGGATATTTACTGCGAGCTCCTATCCTAACTTGAAAATCTTCTATTTCAAGGAGAACTGGATTTCTGGAATTTATTTTTAATAATAAAAATACGCTTTTCAGCTCCTGAAACTGTGTCTCTGTCAGGGAGAAGGAATAGGGGAAACCTAGGTGGTTGATTATATTCAGCACTAGCAAATTGTACAGTTAGGTCACTGCAGCAGAACACTCTAAACACTATTAAAGCTGAGAGGAATTAAGTAAATGGTAAGTGAATGATTTGGAGAACAGCCATCAGCACTTGCAGACACACAGTGATGTTTTTATGCAAGGATAAATACATACCAAGTAAGCAAAGGTACTTTTTGCCGCTATTTCTTTAGTTATTTATGTAACATGTACTTGCTAAATCTGCTGTGTGTTGTACACTTTATCCTTACATTTGCTTAGTGGTTAATTAGTCTTCTCATGCTCACTAACTGAACCAATGAGATTAAGGGGAATGTTCCAAGACTCCAAGAATAATCCAAGCTTTTGATGTTTGCTACTTTCATAAGAGTGTGTGTGCCGTTAATAGAATTGTGATACTCTGGAACAGAAAGCAGATTTATCAACCCAGTTAGTCTGGATGTCAGTGTAGTCCTGTTCACTCAAGCATTGTGTTTCATTCAGAACTACAGTCAGAAATGATATGAGCTGGGAAGACTGAATTTGAGGGATTGCAGTCAACATTTGAAACTTGCTTAAAGCTTGTGAGAGTTTTAGTCCCTACTTGCTGAAACAGGGCCAGGGTGGAAACCTGGTGCCTGTTTTACTGTTTTTATATGGGATAGGTTTAAAATAAAATGAATATCATTTAAACCTACACTGGGTTTATGTATACCATTCCTCATATGTAGCTATAGAGGGTTTTGCAATGTATTTATTCTCTGACTCTTCATAGACACAGAATTCAAGGCTAAGTGCTTTTTTAAAAAA